CCTTTGTATTTAAATGATAGCTTTGAAGCATGAGTTATTTCTTTGAACACTTTGAATAGGCTTTCTGTGGTTTGTGGTCTCGCTCCTTTGACTTCCAGGCATTCACAGTGCTGATAGAATGATTTTTCTATGTCACAAAACGCATCTAGATAACCTCTTACTTAAGGTATTTGACTATGCCCCACCCTTCTACAGAGTTGACATGGATCATTGTGGAAAGTCAAGGCTCCAACTGTTTTCCCTGCTTGTCTTGGACAGTGTCCCTCCTACCGTGTGGAATGAGTCACCTGTGGTTCCCCCCTCGCAGCCTATTCTTGTCTCAGTGCCTTACCATCAGCTGCTCTCTGCCTGGAAGCCACCAGCTTCCCCCACTCCTGCCTGGGAAACTCCCACGCAGCTCTCACAGAGGGTGCAGCCATCACTTCCTCCAGGGACTCTTTCCTGATACCTTTGCTAGACCACCTGCTTCCTTTTTGATCTGGCTCTCTGAAAGCCACGCTGTCTCCCATGAGAGTGCTTTTGCACTTGAACTTCTGTTAATTATTTATCTATAGATCTGTAGGATGATTTATGAGCACGTATCAGGTGACAGGCATCACACTTTTTTTTTTATCTTTCAGTTCAGTAACTCCGAAGTGAGTACAGTTTCTGGCTCTGTTCTGTAAAAAAAGACAGGGAGAGCCAGCCTGATCATTGCTGGTCAGCTCCCGTGTTCCTGCTCACACCTCGGGTTTGCTACCCTGCGGCTTAAACTAATGACCTCAGCGTTGCTGGGACAGTGTTGCATATTGAGATTAGGGCCTCACACTTGCTAGGGGAGTGCAGGGCACTGCTAGAACTCAAGGCTCAAAGTTGGCTCGGTAGTGCGTCACTGCTGAGTTCTGTCCTCAGTCCTGAGTTTAACCCGCGTAGCTGGAAACTGTGCCTTCCTTGGAGTATCAAGATTCCGGTAGTGAGTCTAGGATGTACTCATACCTCATAGCTAGGCTTAATGAAGTGTGGTCGTGATGACCACACGTGGTTGTTTTAAGACATTCATAAGTAACTAATTTTACTTAACTGTTCTCACTTTTCCCACTTACTATTTATTTCTCTATGGTAACTGAACAGAAAACCTTTAAATGAAAATATCTTCCAGGATTTGAGGGGCATCCAGAAAGGAGATGTGGGAAACGTGTCTTTTACGGCAGCGAGGAACCAGCCTACCGTATTGCCAGCCTGTGTCTGTACTGCCAGTGTGAAGGGAAAGAGGGCGGGATCTGTGGATGTGCAAATCACCCTACATAAACTGAGAAATCACTGATCATAACCAAGAATTATGGAGACAAGGGCACTTGCACCCCATGAGGACCCTAGACACCTCCATCCTCTTGCCATTGGTGGATAAAGGAGAAGACTGAAGGGAGAAGTCAGCCATCGACAACGGAAGAAAGAGAAACATCTGTCTGGCCCGCAGGGGCTGTTAGAAAGTGGAAGGGAAGGAGTAAAGGTAGCGCGGCGTGTGAGAAACAGCCCTGCGTAGCCAAGCTTACTAAGTTATTAATTTAATATGTTCTATTATTGGCACACACATTCTTGAGATGTGATCTGGTGACGTCAGGGTGCCAACTTAGTCAAGTGCTCTTTGAGATTTCCCCTGAATTCTGTGTGTGCCACTTCCTGTAAATTACTGCTGTGTGATAAGCCAAGGCCTGAACTGAGCAGCCCCAGCTAACCCTCAGTGGTGGAAATTCTTCAACCATTTTCTTGTGCACTTCGTTCACTAAATCAAACCCAAATCCTGAGAGCTCATGGAGTCTTTTCCCCACTAAGAGGCTTAATTTAATTTTAATTTTGTTTGTATCACAGCCTGCTTTAACATGGAGACTGAGACGGAGCTTGGCAAGTAACTAAGGCAAGTAAGCTCTTACCCATGGTCTGTGGGGATTGGAGAGATCTTGCTCCATGCCTTAAAGCAAGTGGCCTTCTGGGTATTTTAGTGTGGCCACATGCTTGGCTTGAAACTTCATTTGTTTCTTTTGCCTTCTTTTTCAAATTTTTCTTTTTACAAGAAGTATTGAATATGCTCCTACCTACAAGCCATCTCAAATTCTGAGGCAACCACAGGAATGGAAGCCATGTGTTTAGAATTTGGTTAGCTCAGTGTGTGAAGTCACTTCCTGCTGAGCCTGGTAACCTGAGCCCAGTCCCCAGGACACCATGGCGGAAGGAAAGAACTGACCTCCACATGTGCACCGTGGCATGTGCCCTACCCCCTGTAGAAAATAAATAAAAATGTAACAAGATAAAACATATGGGGACAGAATATCTGAAGATGCTTGGGTCCTGGTGACCACAGAGTTCCAGCTGGGGTTCTGCTCAAGCTGTTTGATGTATATTAAAAAAGCCTTAGGTATCAGAATCCCAGTGATTTTGGGGAGGGGGCATCCCGGTCACCTGCAGCTGACCTCACTTTCTAAGCAACGGAAGGGCTAGCGTGACAACTGTGCTGTGGGCACGAGGCTTTGCAAGGCTTTACCAACAGGGCTGCCAGTCGTTTTTTTCATTCTGGACTTAGTACACACAGCAGAGCATAAATCAGCGGATTCCTGCCGTGCATACATGTGTCTGTGCTTTGGCAACGGCAGTAATTACAGTCTAACGCCAGGCCTGCCACAGTTTAACAGGAACTTTCTTTGATCTCCTCGTTGACTTCCTTGCTGCTCAGAGGGATACCAAGGTTAAATTAATCATTTGTTAATGACCACAGATGTAAAAGTGACTGCCTATAAGTTATTATGGGGGTTTACTATCGCTATGATTTTCACTCCCCGCTCTCCAGATCCTGTCCCAGTGTCTGAACACACAGCAACGTCATGCCACCTAACTCCGTGGAAGGTGTCTTCCTTCCCTAAGAGGCAAAATGGGCTCATTAACATTTAAGTTAGTGTCCCAGATCAACTTGGTAAGGGGTTCTCCTAATCTAGATTACTGAACACTCTTGGCTTGCTAGACAGCTCAGCAGATAGAAGCACCTGCTGCCAAGCCTGACACTAGAGTTAAATCCCTGGGACTCCCATGGTGGAAGGGGAGATGTGAACTGGAGAGCTGTCCTCTGATCCGTCCACAGTGCCATAGCATGTGCACCTCCTGAGAAACATAAATAGATAATAACACACGGAGACACTTCCTTCATAGACAGTCATGGAAATCCAGCTCGAAGGTGCGCTGCTGTTTCCGCTGATGGCACTGGAGATCATGAAACCAGAGATGCCCCCCCCCCCCCCCCGCAATCCCTACCTCAGAGACTCTGAGACTTCTGCCCTCAACACCCTCCATTCAGCGTCCTTCACCCAGTATTGTGGTGGGCCACAAACACGAAGACAGACTGCGTTAGTGCAGGTGAGCCCTTCAGTGAGGTCAGGCCCTGAGCACTGAGGAACGTGTACTCCCCATTCCCGCTCATACAGGCATCTATCCATCTACTCGCCGGCCTTGTCAGCTCAGAGCTGGTGGTAGAGAAAGCTTGTGGAACACACTCTAATGTGAAGACACTGATGTGTCCTTTGATGGATTTCAGGAGTATGTTTCAGATGGGAGGTTCTGAGAAAACAGGAGCTGGCATAGTGGTGTACGCTGGACCTGCAGCCACAGTTCTCTCAGGAAGTATACAGTGATTTGAGCAACACTTCCAGGGCTCCCTGTTGACGAGAGGAGTCAGTAGGGTCCTCTACTGTTTGGGTTTTCATAAAATAATAATAATAAAATCCTCCTGAAATATGTGTTCACTAATTGCACTACTTTCTTTTATCCAAATTAAGAAGGAAAGTGTCAGTCAGGTGAGAAAAGATAAGAAAGAGGTTACTTTCTGTCAACTTCTTTTGAAAATGGTTGTTTAAGTGAGATAACATAAAATCATGCCAGGCACAGAGGCATACACCTCTAATCCCAGCACTTGGGAGTCAGGGGCCAGAGGATCACTGAATTGGAGGCCAGCTTGGTTTATAGAGTGAGTTCCAGGACAGCCAGGGCTGCACACAGAAACCCTGTCTCGAGAAAGAAAGCAAACTAAAATGATAGATAGATGATAGATAGATAGATAGATAGATAGATAGATAGATAGATAGATAGGGATAGATGATAGTTGAATGGACGGACGGATGGATGGATGGACGGATGGATATGGATAGATGATAGATGAATGGATGGATGGATGGATGGATGGATGGATGGATGGATGGATATGGATAGGAAAGCTGGGTGCTCTCCTTTCCTGATTTCCTTTAGAGCCCCACCATGGACACATGGTGTTTGTCACAGCTACCTGCTTAGAACCTGTTTTCACTTCTTGTTTGATGTTCATGGAAATGAGCAACAGCAAGGTGGGAATGGAAGCAGGGATGGTAGTGGGGGTGCTGAGGTGGTCTTTGTGGGTGCTTGGCAAAGAGCCTTAATCAGTTCCCAGAACCTTAGTCGGTAGCTGTGGTGTGGCCCCATGTGCATTGACTGGATGCTGGGTCTGACCTTAGGCAGATCTGCTCACTGTGACCTTTGAAGGACAGCCATGAAGATTATACACGGCTTCCCTCATGTGAGAAGTCTTTATGTTCTAATTTGGGTAGAAGACTTCTCTGAAGCCTTTCCTTTAAGAAGAGCTCTCTTCCAAAGAGCACCACACTGTGACCACCTCTGTTGTGACCACCTCTATTTCTGCTTCAAATCATAAAGATTTCTATGATCGTATGTAATGGTGGAATCAGGCATTTCTACATGGTAGTGATGAACCTGGAGACCTCAGTTCCACTCTTTCAGCTCACTGGGGCCAAGTTAATGAATTCACTAAATATTACAAGGCTGGTCCTAAAGACAATCAGATGGTTGCCTATTGCTCTGTATCTTAAAGACCGCCCTTGGCCAAGAAGTCAAACAGCATGCTGTCAAGTTGCCTGTCTGAGTTTTTGCAAAAGATTTTTTTCCTTCCCATCAGTTACATCTGAAGAAATGAAGGGGTAAAACCATACCTGTAGTATTCCTCTCCCACAAAGAAGAGGGTCTTCTGGGGTTTCCTGAGGTAGACCGCAGCATCTATTCGCTGCACACGCCTTGGCAGCCCGAAGTCATAAATTGTCCGGGGAGGACCTTGCATCTGGAATCCTCGTGTGATCCAATAGTGCGGACCTGGAAGCAAAGGGTGGAGTCTGCAGAGATTCTGCTGCACTCACACTGTGTTCTGGATCATAAGTGGGCCGGGTACATGTGGATATAGATATCTCCTTTCTCTAGACTTCAGACTTCCCCGAGGCAAGGCTACATTTATACCTTGAGAAATCTGTGTCTTCTTACACTTAGCACCTTTGTGTTTTCAGTACATTTTTTTAAAATAAATTTCCCTCACCTTCATGTACCCATGAAGAACAGGAGAGAAGTGACATCCAATAAAGTTTTTCACTTAAGTTGACAACAGTCTTCTGTGTCAACAAAGCCACAGTCAGTGTGTTCCCGGTGACTTTGCTTGACCATCTACTGCTGAGACATTGTTCAAGATTGGTCTTATTCCAATCACTTTGCAGATGAGAAATAAAATCTCATGGAATCTGGATAATATCTCAACGTTATTCAAATAAAGAAGGGTTGAAGCCAGAGATTGGAAGCCTGTGGGTTTGTCTCCTGAAATCACAGGAGTTCGTGTCCCACCAGCTGCTCTAAGCTTGACTTTGTAGCAAGGATTTCAAGGAATGTTAAAGGATCTCACTACAGTGTACCATGTTGTTCTAAACCGGGAGGCCAGGGCCTGGTTGATCATGTAGCATGGTGCTGACTAAGCCCAAGGACTGGTGCTGAGGTGGTGCAGTAGGTCCTTCTGTCTATGTGGGTTTTTTGGTTAACGAATAAAGAAACTGCCTTGGCCTGTTGATAGGGCAGAACTTGGTAGGCAGGGAAAACAACTGAATGCTGGGAGAAGGAAGGCAGAGAGAGAGAGAGAGAGAGAGAGAGAGAGAGAGAGAGAGAGAGAGAGAGAGAGAGAGAGAGGTCATGGATGGAGCCACTGCCACTGGAGACAGAAGCACTAAAACTTTGCTGGTAGGCCAAGACCTCATGGGGATGCACAGATTAATACAGATGGGTTAGTTTAGGATATGAGTTTATCCAAAAATACACTTAAGCTATTGGCCAAACAGTATTGCAAATAATATGGTTTTCTGAGTGGTCATTTCTGTTCTGGGCAACTGGGACAAACAAGCGGCCTGCTGCAATAGATTGGCGTAACCCGAAATAATCACACAGAAAGAAACCATATTAATTAAATCACTGCTTGGCCCATTAGTTTTAATATCTTATTGGCTAACTCTTACATATTAATTTAACCCATTGCTATTAATCTGTGCATCACCACAAGGTCGTGGTCTACCAGCAAAGTTTCAGCAGTCTGTCTCCAGCTTCTCTCTAACTCCATCTTCCTCCTCCCATGCTATAGGTCAAGGCAGTTTCTTTAATGATTAACCAATAAAAGCAACACATAGATAGAAGGACCTCCCACACTGGGGTCTGCTGATAGTCACTGCCATTCCTGCCATGGCTACAACAGTGTGAGTGACATTTAATGCCCGGCCTAAGAAGGAGCAACTGAAACCTGCCCAAGAGCACCGAGTCACACAGGCACGGCACTAAGGCCTTGGCATTTCTCTGCAGATACCTTTGAAGAAGAAAGCAAGGCCTCGCTCAGGCACTTCATAAGCTGCATCCACGTTGGACATGAGCTGGGGGAAGGAGCTGGTGATGGTGTTGGGCCGAATTCCTGCTGCCAAGTGCACCTGTCTTCTCCAGAAAATCCTATTGGGTGGGCCAGAAGAAATCAACATCAAGGATTGGTTGAGATCTTAGACTGCAGAGACTGAAATGGCACTAAAGCCATTGGCAGAGAACACTGTGAAGTCCCCATCGCCCTTTGCCATGATTTAAAGTATAACATACTATATTACTTCTACTACTGCTACTATCACTATTATTATTTTTGAAACAGGGGCTCATGAATCCCACCCAGGCTGGTCTCAAACTCATCAAGGATGACTTTGAATTTCCGGTGCTTGAGTTTCCACCTCCTGTGTGCTGAGTTCCTAAGGTTTGCTATCATGTCTGGTTTTCATCTTTTAACCTTTTAAACAATTTCTTCTTCTTTCTAATTGTATTAGGACCTCTGAGACTTCACTTCACTTATGTGAGGGTGTTCAGATCATAGATGTTAGACCATGGGTATTCATGGAACCCATACCCTTTACCCCCAAAGATCATTACACACCAATTTCTCTTTCATATTCCATTCTGGTGTTTCCACAACTAAAATCTCCATAATAAACTGGAAAATGAACAAATGACTGGGAAAACCTAAAGACTACTTTTCATCGGAAGCAATGGGACTCAGACGGCAACTGCTGTGCATAGAGAGCAGTGCTAAGTGTAGCTTAGGGCTCTCCCGGGTGTCAGAACTGGCTACTGCAGATACTGTGAGGACTAACCTGGAGCACAGTAGCCATTCTGATTCTAATATCTGTGCCCTCGGCGACACAGGATTCGAATGTCTGGTGACAATGTTGGTTATCACAGCCAAGGCTGGGGAGTGCTCTCAGAATTTGGAGTAGCTAACGGAAGAGACAGCATGGCTCACAGTATCAGTGGCTCCAAAGACAGGAAATACTATTTCAATAGTTCCGTTACAATGTGCACATTCCGCACGATGCTATAGTCTATATAGTGCTATCTATTAAATGTAAATTATCACAAAAGCTCTTCATTAACCAGTGGATGAAGAAAACTTATGTTTGGTAGATAAGAAAGCAATAGAACATCAATTCAGCATATTAAAGCAAAAGATGAATTAAAATTGAATAAAGAATTTCTTCAATCTAGAGACTTGTTGGCAAAAGACAGGTTAGGACACACAGGAACTATGTAATGCAGCAGACAGATGTCAACATCCGTAATCTAATCTTTGATAAGGAAGGAACAATAGTAGAACGTGATATCACCAACCAGCTGATATTTATTACTGCACTATTTATCTCTGTGTACCTGGTGGTTGCCGTAATCAAGATCCAATGAACATTTGTCAGCTGATGCCAGAGGGTTGAGCAGAATATAATTGATCAATGAATTTTATAGCTTATGAAATGTACATTTCCTGTTAGTAGAACTCTAATTAATTAAATATGGTATTAACCTACTGCTAGCCTCCTTCCTGGCCTTTTCTCTGTGCCTGTTCTGGAACACCGGGACAGGCAGGATCACGTCTCGCTCATATTTTTATCCTGGGGCATCTCATCCTTGTTGGCTGACCCTTTTTTTCTCCCTGGGAATTGTATTCTGGATCTTGCTAAGTCACAGAACTACCTTCTAGGCTGAATGTTTTTTTCTTAAAATTTCTGCCATGTATGGCCCATTTTATTTCCGAGAAAGATATAAGCAACCCAGGTATATAGGCATATAAAATAGCTATACAAATTAATCATTTACTGATGATAAATCATAAAGAATTTATCTTAATTTTTGGCATACACATAAATTTTTGTTTTATCACTAATTAATGATCAAGACAGATTTGCTGTCCAATTGAAATGCTTGCTTGCCTAACATAGAACATCCCAAAGATACACTGGCTTGATATTTCCTTCCATAGAAGGGATGACTTTAGGAACATGATAAAAATCATTGCTTTCCATACAGTATTATAAAAGCAGAAAATGTTGTATGTATCACAATAACACATAATTTCAACAGTCTGAAACCGGAGTGAGGTACTGTGCTGTGTCCATCAGCATCGCGTGCTGAGATACCACGCTCAGTGTAAACTATGTATATTGTGGGTACAGAACCAAGGCTGGGGTGATTACACAATGTAATATGGATGAGGGCTGCTGGACACACCTGGGATTCATTATACATTTCATTTTTTCTAAATTTTTGGTCATTGTTCAGGAAGTCTGTACTGTTGCCCCCCTCATGGAGTTGGAACACTGTGACCATCCTTGTCAAACCTGCCTAGACAGGCCCATGTTCTTCCCTTTCAGAAGTCATGGGAGCCCAGCACAGCTGCACCCATCTCTTGTCTCTCACCTACATTAGCCCCACACCCTCCTGAGTCTGCTTCTCTGGTATCCTTATCTGGGAAGAGGAGGAAGAGGTGCCTTCCCCTCTTTCAGATGCTCTTTTGGGGTCAGGAGGTGTGGTAAAAAGAGAGGAACAGTACACAGAAGACATGCAGACATGGCCTGCTAGCATCCTTGGGAACAAATCAGAAAAAGTTAGGTAACTAAGTAACCTCAGAGGAGGTAGGTGATGGCTGAAAATCTCTAGTCGCAATAACAAAGTGCAGTAGGGGACTTAGCTGAGCAGGAGGGGAATAAAGTGAAGACTCCATCCTGGAGGCGTGGTGAGCCTTGGGGAGCTCATTCCTACTCCTTGCTAGACTGGAGCCATGGCCTAAATCTGCCCTGTACTTCCAGTAACAGATACTCAAAAGAGCAAAATCCAAGGAGAAGGGAGGTAAAAATTGTGGACCGGCAGAGGAAAGGGAGGCACTAGGGAAACACTCTTCTTGGCATTCAACAAGAGTGGTTGAATGATGCCATTTTAAAATGGTGGTCTAGCCACTCTTGGAAGCACACATCCTTGGGACCCAGAGAACCCTGGCCTGCTGGATACCTCTAGACATCCAGGAAGACAGTTTTAGTGAGAGCAAATGACATCCAGTCTGGTCAGAGCTGAGGTGTGACCAATACTCACAGCCCATCGTGGGAAGGAGTGCCCAGGGACGGGACCAGAATTCTCAGACCTGCGGAAGGCTGCCCAGAAGCATAAACAGCATCTGCCATCAGACCTGGGGAGCCCAAGAGCTGGGATGGTTTTTAGGGTATCCCATTGTATTTCTGTACCTCGTTTCCTTTTCTTTCCACCCCTAGCCAGGGCTGCCTCATCTTCCCCTTCTAGTTCTCCTTCGGTCTCTTCTCTACTGCTGGCCCCACCCTGCTTTTTTCCTACCTACTCTCTAATTGGTTTCTTGGTACACACAGTATTATTAGTGCTCCTTTGCTTCCTGAAATGACTGGCGTTGAAGGAGCAACTGCATCTTAATTGACCTTTACTGCATTTTCAAAGTCAGGTTACCTTTTGATAATGATTGTTTTGCAGACAGAAGCTCACCCCCAAAGCAGTCCTGGGATTGAGCCTGATGTGCAAAGTGCATGGGCGGAAGGTCTAGACGCTAAGCTAGACACCCCGTCTAGGAGAGAAAAGTGATAGCTTCACCCCTGTTACAATGAGCCCCTCTTAAACATTGCAAACATGTCCCCAAAAAGAATAAGGGGGTCTTAAAAAAGAAAGTGCTCTATGAACCTGAAGGCACTTATGATTATTTATATAAAATTTTTAAAGACATGTTTTATTCTACAACGTTTTAATTATTAATTGACCCTATGCAAAATTTGAAAGGTTTACATGGTCTGAAGAGAAGGGTATTACTATGGAAGTTTTCAGCACAGTGTTTACCAGTAGTTTCCTTCAAAATTTGTTCCTGAAAACTTTGAGTTACATACCAGCACATCTGTGGGAGAGAAGGGATTCATTTTGGGGTTTATTAGTCATTTGCTTCAGAGGCCCCCCAGTCAACCATGCATTCATTGTTTAGTTCACGGAAGCTGTGAGTGGACTTATAACTGCAGGCGTGGGAGTGGCGTGGGTTATGAAGTCAGGAGTTTGCTTCGGAGGTCCAACAGTCTACTCCCATGAGAGGAGCAGGGCATGCAGCCTCATAAGCCATGACTCATGAAGAGAAGGCAGGGCCCATCCTCAGTCAGGAGAGAGAGCTCGGCAGTGACAGAGTCAGTGGGCTTGGCTCACCAACTGTCTTTTTGTCTGGATTCCTAAGACATCAAATCTAGTCTAAGCTAGCTCCCCACCACCTGCTTTCCTCCATCCCTCACCCCTACCCACAGCTCTTCTGTACACATCCTCAGTCCTGCACAAACCCTTATGCCTGCACATGGCTCTCCTCCTGAACACAGCCTTACCTCTGCACACACCCTCACCACTGCACACACCCTCACCCCTGCACACGGCTCTCCTCCTGTACATATCCTTACCGCACACTTGTGCACACGCCCTCACCCCTGCACACACCCTCACTTCTGTACACGGCTCTCCTCCTGCACACACCCTCACCACTGCACACACCCTCACCACTGCACACGGCTCTCCTCCTGTACATATCCTCACCCCTGCACACTCGTGCACACACCCTCACCCCGCACACACCCTCACTTCTGTACACAGCTCTCCTCCTGTACACATCCTCACCTCTGCACACACCCTCACTTCTGTACACAGCTCTCCTCCTGTACACATCCTCACCCCTGCACACGGCTCTCTTCCTGCACATATCCTCACCCCTGCACATACTTTCAGTTCTGCACACAGCTCTCCTCCTGCACATGCCCTCACCCCTGCACACTCATCCACACGTGCTCACCCCGCACACACCCTCACTTCTGTACACGACTCTCCTCCTGTACACATCCTCACCCTTGCACATTCCTGCACACATCCTCACCTCTGCACACAGCTCTCCTGCTGTACACATCCCCACTCTTGCTCATGGCTCTCCTCCTGAGCACGTCCTCATTCCTGCACACGGTTCTGCCTTCTGAGCTGTCTTGTAATGATGAAAAAATAAATTGGGACAGTTTTCAGTATTCTAGGTTGGTCTCAAAATACATTATATATAGCCAAGGATAACCTTGAATTTCTGATCATCCTGTCTCTACCTCCTGGGCTGGGGTTACAGGTGTTTACCATCCTGCCTAGTTTACAAGGTACCAGGGATTAAATCCAGGGCCCTGTGTATGGTATGAAAACACTCTACAGCCTGAGCTATGTCCCTGCCCTTGCAATGCTTTTTGAATGTTTTTTCTTATGAGCTGTGCCAAGGCAGACCTACTTCTGCAATGTTTGACAGTATGATAGTACTTCATACCCAAGTACTCAATTGGACACCTTTCCCAATAAAGACAAAGTTACATACATGTTCCTGGGGTCCTCTCTATATTTTATTACTATTAAATTTCCTCTTCAGTAAAGGAAAGAATATGGGTGAATGTTGCTATGTTTTTGTTTTCCTTCATGGAGTCACGGAGACCTCCTGAGGGCAATTGTGAAACTCTCTCAGTGGTCAGAGTGAGGGGACAGAAGACATCTATGAAGACAGCCGACTGACACTGAAAACCCTGGAGGCCTTGAAAATGGGGCATTTAGGAAGAGCTTTTCATTAGAAATACCCACCTGTGTGTGTAGCATTTGATCGCCCATGCATGCATGCGTCCACCCACCTACCATCTTCCCGTTCATGCATGTTCATTTACCAGTCTGCTCGTCTGTCCAACTAGCTAATTGTCATTCACAGATTGTTCCTCTCACTAAACACATACCAACGAACAGTAGCCCACTACACCTGGACTGATGCCTAGGAGACAAACTGCTGTCTTTGGGGATTCTAATCTTTATCATGAAAGCAGTTAGAACAAAGATGGCACTAATAGGAACACACTCAGCGAAACATCCAGACCTCAGCCAGTCTCCATTCACAGCGGCTGTGCATCCCAGACCCCACTGCCTGGCCTGCTTCCCATCAATGTAGCAAGTCTGTGCCATCTTCAGTCAGTGAGACAATGACATTGGTTGGCGTGGCTGAGGCCGGGGATGTCTTGGGCTCACCTGTCCTTGAAGAGCAGAAGCTCCTTCCCCAGCATTGTCACAGCGTCGAAGGATGAGCTGGAGTCGCAGAGGTCGGGAAGGGATGGCTTGTGAGGCGGGATATGGGGCATAGTGGGCTTTCCTGGGAATGTCTTCCGGGGTCCTAGGATTCAAAGTGTAAAACGATGCCAGCAACTCAGAGCATGTCTACTTCTACTCTTGAGAACTCTAGAATACCATAAGGAAATGGCTGCCAATGGCAGGCAGACCTGGGTTTGAGTCTCAGCATCTCTACCTGTTAGTTGTGTGACATAAAACAATTTAACTTCCTACAGCCTTGGTTACATCAGTTGTAAATTGGGAGTGCTACCAGCAGAACCTACCTACGAACATTTTGTAAACCTTAAGTAATACCTGAAAATATCAGCAGCTGAGGACTCCTGGAAAGCCAGTTTGCCATGGGCGTGGACTTTGGTGTCTTTGCTCCGGTACACAGTGGTACAATTTGGACTTAGTGCGTTATAAAAACCAAAGATGGCACGGAGTTGGTAGCAGGGTTTGGCAGCCCGTGTGTGTATGGGAGGAGTTGGGGCGGTATGGGAAGTGACTAGGATCAAAAAGCATTGTACACTTATGTGAAATTCTTAGAGAATTAATGAAAATAGTCCATAAGAAGAGGTTGCTATTTTTTACTGTTAGGCACAACCAAATAGTAGCTAAAGATATCTTAAGATCCCTGCTACCTTTTACCTTCAATGAAATTAGAGTTTATACAACCTTGTCATGAAAAGGACATAAATGACAAGTGTAAGCCGGTCTCATACTCAACAGATTTTCTATATGGTTGAGTGATAGAGTTATTAGCATCATTATTGCTATTTTTAGGGAGCTAAGACCCCTTGTCTGTCAATGTGTGTCTGTGTGTGTGTGTTTGTATAAACTATAAACTATAATCACCACCTTCCATCTTCCAATGCATAATTTTTTGCTTTGGAAAATAGGAAATGGACCATTTTCCTTGGCTTTTTAGAGCCAGGATACTTTGGAGGAAAGACAAGACAGCAGTGCTTTCTCTGGTGCACACACTCTTTATAGGCAGATGTGGCTCTAGCTTCATCTCTGTTGATGTAGCTAAGTCCTGGGAAATTGCACTTTCTTTAACCAGGGGTGAGAGGTAGTGAAGAAATCATACCGTATAGTGCTTGAATTCCTTTCACGTCATCCTTGGGGAGATGGAACCTATAGGGGTTCTGGTACTTGTAAGTTGGGTACATAAGTGCTGACGGGTCTGTGGAGTGGCCCAGGCCTAGAGCATGGCCAAATTCGTGAGCAGCAACGGTGAATAAATTGAACCCTAAACAAAGAGAGAGAGAGAGAGAGAGAGAGAGAGAGAGAGAGAGAGAGAGAGAGAGAGCATCAACACAGTTGTGTTTCCTCAGCTTGTCTCCCAGGAGACCTTGTGCCACAGCACAGCCATCTCTCCTTTCATAACGGGACTCAAAGGTTGGGAGACTAGTCTAGCACTTGGCTTTCCTGTCTTTAGTCTCTTTTGGTTCCTTCACCCTTTGCGGGAAGGGGGGAGGAGGGAAATGTAAAACAATTCATTCTCCCATTGCCAGCGATGTGTGATAGTGGATAACAAAGGGTCTGGCAGCTAGGAGCAGTGATGAAATTTGCAGTAGTGTCCAACGTTGGATCCTAAGTCCTAGAGTCACCTTCTGCTACAACCTACCCCCTTTTATACTATAAATTGGTTATATGAAAAAAAAAATCACTGGATAGAAATGGAATGTAGTACAATGCAATCAAATTATCTTCTGCTATAGGGAAATCGGGCTCACACACCAAGCTGAGTTCAGTTATAGGAAGGTTAGCTTCCGGCTCTAAAATGAGTCTGTTTTCACACAGCTCAGTGCTATACACAGTTAACATTTCAGTTAGTGCTTGAGGAAACTAGATTCACAGAGTCAAAATAATTTACCCATGGTTACAGTCAACAATCGGTGGAACCAGGAATTGAGATTTTAATTTACTTGGCATCAAAGCAGGATTTCTAATAAGTATTCTAAGTGTGTGGGGTGTACCAGCTTCTTCTTTCATCGTGTTTCACACTCAGACGACCTGCATGGCATGCTGGGAACTTTATACCCCCTCCCCCATCACACTCCTCAGGAGAGTACTAATTCATTTCGTGGGGTCATTCTTAAATATAGTTCATTTCCACATACAGGTAAAAAGCCATATGTCTTATACATCTGAACGAGAAGTAAGCTATGCACTGGGATGGGATTGGCTCTGTGGATTAAATGCCAAGAAACAGAGAGCAGGCAAATCTATAGCATCATAGTGGGAGGGTCTTCCCCTGTAGGTTCCCTTCTGGATTTTTGGCTTACTTGTTTTTCCTACCCAGCCCCCTAGTTAAAGGGTAGCTTGGGACGTTGAACCTCAAGGTTTCATGATGGAGCCCAGAAGAAGGTACAATAGTTTCCAGGTTATGGTGAATTGTGCATATATACCATTCATCCCCATAGTCCACTTCTCAGCATTGTCGAAGTGCGTGTCTCCTCCCAAGCCTTCTCCAGGTGCAAATGCATGGGCCAGAGTCCCTCGAGGCCCATCAAATGGGTAGGAATCCCCGTGATCTAAGTGGGAAACATCAATCAGATCAGGCATAGTAATTCTGGGCAGAAGGTGATCAACATTCTCAGTAGCGTTGGCCCTTAAATGAGCTTTTCAATATTTATCTTTGAAAGACCTTTTTAAATTATGTGTGTACTCCCTGTGGGAGTATGTGCTCATGTGTGCAGTGCCCGAGGAGGCCAGAAGAGGGCGTAGTTGTAGCACAAGTGCTCTTAACTGCCACGTCATTTCCCTGGCATTAATATTCATTCTTAAGTATAGAAAAGGTCAAGGGTCATGGAATTGAGAAATAGAAAGATTATTTTGTACTTCAAAGATGCATTGCAAACAGGCAATCTTTGTGGTAATGGTTTTCATCACAACACACAGCATATGGTAGATGGTCACACAACACAGATTACAGAAGGAGAAAGAACTGAGGGACATTTGGTAGCAGCCAGGCCCACTGACTGATTACAATATAAACCTGTCAGCAAAGTCCAATTCCTCTGAAAGGGTTTAGTAAACTGAAAGTGTGCTTTCTGTTTGCATGGCATAACATAATTTAACTGCAAAAAGTCAAAAGAAAATGTCTTTGTAATTTTGATAGCTGTACATGTAAAGTCTATGAAAGAAAAGGTGGTCGGGGAAATCCCTTGGCGCTTTGTTCTGCCATCTGTAGTTAGCAGCATCATGACTCGACAGAAACCATCTGATGGATGGACAGAGGCTACTGCTCTTGAATTCTCAGAATTTTGGTGGCAGTGCTCTATTTTTCGTTTACTTAAAAATTGGTATTTGTATTTCATTTTATTAATTTGTTAGTTTTAATGTATTTACTTTGTATGTGTGAGAGAGTGGCTGTACTCACTGTTATGTGGAGATCAGAGGACAACACAGGGAGCAGGTCCTCTCCTCTCACCAGGCAGGTTTCTGGGATTGACCTGGGCTACCAGGCTTGACAGCAAGGGCTTTGCTGGCCCGGTCACCTCACCTGCCCTGTTTATCGTTTTTAAAGCCCCACCCCCGGATTCAGTATGCTATTTCTCAGGTCTCATTTGATGCAGTTCCATCAGGTCTGTGTGTTCTGAGAAGTGGATGGGAGGCTGCCTGGTTTCTAGGCAGCCTTTGTGCTAGGGGACAGAAGACCAGCTTGAATGACAAAGAATCACAAATCAATTCCATGTACCCTGAACTTACTCTGACTCCCAATGTCCTGCCATTTCACCAAGTGCCCTTGATGCCTGGCAGGAACAGGACCCGCCAAGGGCTCATTCCACTCAAGGCCATTTCATGGCTCCCTTGGCCTCCCTCCCCTCCCTCCTAAGCACATTCCCTGTAGCAACACCAGACTGGAATAAGCTCAGGGCGCAGACTGTCTTGGGCACTTAGCAGCATTATCTGGGCAGGGGAAGAGGGGTGACATTCATCTTCACTGCTGTAAGTGGAGGAGGGAGTGTCTTAGGGGCATCCTGTTTCTTCTGTTTCCTGCAAGGGTTTCTCTGCAGAGGAGAAAATGGAGTAGCAGGCAGGTAGAGGCAAACGTGCATGCACTTCCCAAGAGTAGTGTTTAAGCAGGGTGGGCCCCGAATGCTACCTCTGTACCTCTGTAACTATCGCGGGGGTGGCGATCACAGGGTCCCTGGGGAGTTGACTTCCTTAGAGGGGACTCCACTACGAAACCAGGTGATAGTGATAAACATTGTTATGGGCAACACTGGACTCGTCTGGCCCCCTAGTCAGGAGGAAACTAAAGCTGATAGAACTGTCCTCTCCTGGGGTGGAGCCACAGTGAAAGAGTAGTCAGGGAGTCGACAGCGTTGAGACTGCTCTATCCTGCCTTCTGAAGGGATGCTCATCTTTGCCCCTGCCTTTGCCCGTCCCAGTGCTATGGGATGAAGCCCTGTGCTGATCAAGCTGTAAGTCTGTCAAAGGAGCAAGTTTGGGGCAATAGAACCCAAGAAATAGTACAGTACCTCCAGTTTCAAAAGATATCATGATATCTGCTTCCCCAGAGTTTATCCTAACGAAGTTCAGAGGGACGGCGGTGCTCCAGGCACGCAGGGCCATCTCCACGGCCTTGTCCACCTCAGCAGGACTCATGGAAGGTGTGTACTTAGAGACTCTGGACAAAGGGAAAGCAGATGTGTGTGCTTCAGTGACCGCTCCCAAACAGACAGGCAGAGGGAATGCCCAGGCTGCTCACAGACCACAGGCCCGGGTCTCCATGGCACAGACCACAGGCCTGGGTCTCCATGGCATAGACCACAGGCCTGGGTCTCCATGGCATAGATTGTTCACAGACCACACGTCTGGGTCTCCATGGCATAGACCACAGGCCTGGGTCTCCATAGCATAGACTGTTCACAGACCACAGGCCCGGGTCTCCATGGCATAGACCACAGGCCCGGGTCTCCATGGCATAGATTGTTCACAGAGCACAGGCTCGGGTCTCCGTGGCATAGACCACACATCCGGGTCTCCATGGCACAGACCACAGGCCTGGGTCTCCATGGCAAATTTGTTTTTTGTTTTATTTTTCCCTAATCAGTAGTTCTTGCCCCGCTTTGTAACATCCTGGATTGTCTGTTGTCAAACAGGACACTACAGAGAGACCTAGAAGGCAGTGACATCCAGCCCTGGACTTTTGAACGGTTAGTTCTTGTTGTTATTTATTTGAGGGTTTGCTACCTCAATTCTTTATCAAAGGTCAATGGAATTTCCCCAGGGTTGGGGAGTGGCCTGTAAGTGTGTGTGTGTGTGTTGTGTGTGTGTGAGAGGGAGAGAGAGAGAGAGAGAGAGAGAGAGAGAGAGAGAGAGAGAGAGAGAGAGAGAGAGAGAAAGAGAGAGAGAAAGAGAGAGAGAAAGAGAGACAGAGACAGAGAGAGACAGAGATAGAGACAGACAGACAGACACAGGAGAGACAGAGGGGCACAGTTTCTTTTAAATTTTTTAAAATTTGCTTTTAAAAAGGTTTGTTTTTATTGTATGTGTATAGGTGTTTTGCTTGCATGTATTGTCTGTGCATAATGTGTGCAATGCTCATGATAGCCAGCAGAGGGCATCGATCTCTAGGGAACTGGAGTTACAGAGGGCTGTGAGTCGCCTTGTGGGTACTGAGGATTGGACCTGGATCTTCTGCAGGTGCTTTTAACTGCTGACATCTCTCCAGTCCTTTGTGTGCTTTCGTTGAAAGGATTTGTTAGCCTAGAACAGAATGCTCACTGGGGTGAGAAGAGGCCTGAGCTCTGTGGGGAGACTCTAGGAGAGCATAGTGGTTTTTCTGGATACAAGTGCAGAGTTGCTGGATCCCAGGGTTCCCTCTGTGCTGAAGCCCAGAGATTGGGGTTCTGCCAGCAGTGAAATGGGGGAGAGAATTTCACCTGGGACTCTGGACTGGGGCTGGAATAATGGCTATAAAACAAGGAGGCAGATGTTCAGCAGCCGACTTTGGAGGTAGATCTGAGGCCACAGCCTTTTCTCTAGCTTTGACTCGTGTCTAACACAGACAGACACATTTGCCAAACGCAGGTACTTGGCAAATGGGAAAACAAAGGCTAGCTGTGTAGGATATCCTGGGACTCTCAAACTTTAGGGTCCATGACAACAGTCTAGCAAGTTTGTTGAATGTACTGGCTTAGTTTTGAAATCTGTACTTTAGCAAGTTTCTTAGATCGCTCTCATACAGGTGATATGATCTGAGCTAGCACACAAGACCAAAATCCTAGGGTACTCAAAATAAAGACCAAGAGAGAAGATGGAAAAGTTTGGGACCATTTAATGATTTCAAAATACTCACACCCCTCTGTCATACAGTCCTACGATTTAGACCCAGGCTAGACAATACCTCGTCATTCACTCTCGATACAGGCGGAGCAACTGTATCCTTGAGTTGATGGTGTAGCTGAGACAGCCAAGAGAAGGATGGGGAAAAGAATAACATGAGAGAAAGGGAAGTAGAGAAAACCCTGACCTGGGGTCTACGTATTGAAAACCATGAGCTGATGGCATGAAGGCAGTGTTCTTTGGAGACGAGCTCCGTGCCAGACAGGGCTCTCAGCACTTTTTAACGCGGTGTGTTATCTCGTCCTCTCAGGCCCAGGGCAGTCGGTAATGATGATGATCAAGGCCTGCACTTTGTGGTTAGGGGGAGCCCAGTCCTGCTCTGTCTGCTTTCCAGGCTGTGCCCAGGAGCACTCTGTGTGCTTCCTGCCTTCCTTGTGCACCAGCTATGTTACTTACGAGATGCTATTCCGACATTCACGACCCTCCTGTTAACTGTGCATAGCAACATCCTAAAATTCTAGGACACAGTTGAAAGAATTATGAAAAGATGTCATGAATTTATCTTTTTTTTTCCCCTCTAAGAACTTAAACTGTAGTTGTTTCTCAGACTGTGGTGAACTTTTCTTAGGCTACCCCATTGCTTTGATTTCTTTGTCCTGAGTGGCACCTTGTGGACGGGGCCTCTAATAGCAGGTAATAAAAGGCCCCACCAACTTCTTTTCTTGTGTGGGATCACCAGGTTTGTCAGAAGGGTTTAACAATCTCCTTCACCAGGGAACATATGACTCTGGCCAGCACGGCTTGCTGGTTTCTGTATTGTAAATAGTGCCCGACCGTCAGGGATACCACATTGGCAACAGTCAAGAGGCCACTGTGGAATGAGGAGATTAGTCAGGTAAAATAGACATGGATAAGCTTGTGAATCTGGGTGGGGGGAAAACGGAAAAGTAGGAAGTAATATGTTTTGGTTAGCTCTGTTTTAAAATACACTCTAATTGTAAAGTTACATCATTGTGTATCAAGAAGCCCAGGAAGCTCTTGGGAACATAACGATAAACCCCAGAATCCCTGCCATTGCAGCTGGCTCCTGCTGTAGCAAGGAAACTGTTCTCTTCCAACCTGCTTAAGTTTGCAGCAACGCAACTCTGCTCATCTCCAGGTCTCATCCAAGTGTGCTGGTCCTGGCAATGTAACGGGATCCGGATCCTGGAGCCCACAGAATCCAGATCCGGGCCTTCCCCAAAGCTAGCTTACTGTTCAGCTGCCTCCCCAGCCTCAGTTCTACCACTCCCTTGCCGTGCCCTCTCCTGCACTTCAGTAGTGTGCTTGGGCACTGGGACTGGCAACACGGCGGTCCATCTCGCTCAGCTTGGTTGGTAGGTACAAAAATCTGGCAAAGAACCACCCAACGATAAACCCACTGAGGCCCAAGCCTGACAGCGTCACCGACCTCCTTCAGACTCACTGAGGCTGTGGAGTGGGCACCCTGGGTGATGTATTTTAGACTGGGCTATCCTGTAAGTGAGCCCTGGAGTGGATCAAAGAAGCTAGAGCAGGAAATTTGCTCTCTCTACTGAGAGCCCAGGGAGGAAGAACCAAAGCTCCTGTTGGGTGGCTTCCTCGGTCAAACAGGAAGATGTCAGATGATGAGGCAATGCCAGGCAGGCACCATGGGTAAACGGGACTTGAAGGTGCAACTGGCTTCAAATCAGGGTCAGGAGCCACTTCTGTATGACTGGCCAGCCATATAGCTCCCCCTCTGCTGCCCCAGAGCCCACTGAGGGCCTGTGAGGACAACTCTTTCTCTCTGTTCATGTCTGTCTCCCCCTAAAGACCAGAAAGGAGAAGGATGATCCGTGCGTCTTTACATTCCACAAACTGAGTGCCTATAGTAGCCAAAATCATCAGCAAGTGATTTGTGGAATCGGGAATGAATTTTATTAATGAGTCTTTGGCAGTGTATGTGTGGGAAAGGGTGGGGTGAGGGAAGAGGCCAAACTCCAGTGTTGTTTCTCACGAGACAGCCATGCGTTTCTGAGGTGGTGTCTCATTTGGCTTCTAGTCTCTCATTTGATTGAGTAGTCGAGCCCAGCTGGCCAGATTAAAAGGTTATCAGTCCTACCCAAGGGCTACTTTCATCGTAGCTGGTCAGGTCTGTAATGGAGAGATGGACAGCTATCCTGAGATTAGATTTTCGAGAAGACAGCTGGAGAGATTCTACTCTTTCTCATGGCTGTTGTGGGTTCTGCCTTCCCCACAGATCAAGAGCAAGAGAGTTTGGGAAGAAAAGGAGAGGGTGAGGCGCATCTTTCTCTTTGAATTGGGAAAGACTCAATCTCATTACCTGTATGTCAAAATATTTTTTTTCCATTTGGGTTCACCTGGGAAGAGGCGGTAGTTGGCCACATCAGGGACGCCACAGCGAGGCCTCTTGATCACATTCATCGTAGTCAGGTCCAACTTCCCAGTGACTTGGAGGCCAAAGAAAGATTGCAGCTCCTTAATCTTCCTGACCATGGGGTTGCCTTGTCTCGCCACCATCTCACCGGCCTGGGGGCCTCCTTTGTGTGTGTAATACTTGTCAAGGTAGTCCTGGAAGGGAGAGCAGGCTGACACATGGGCGGTGTGGTTGGTGAGCGCCCCTACACACCCCTACTCAGCTAGGGCAGGGCGCAATATTCCTCATATAAATAGGGTATGTATTCTTATTTTAAAACCTTTGACGTATTTGCATAGATGAAACATATTTGTCAAAACTTATTAATGATTTACTTTTGAGTACTGAGGCTTGTAGACCGTTATCCGCCCCTACAGTTTTTGTGTATGTGTGTGGTATACACATGTGTGTGCAGGCGTACTTGCTTGTATGGGCTATGTGGAAACCATAGGTTGATGTTGGTATGTCATTCTTAATCATGTAATGTAGAACACATAATGTGTAATGTGAAATAAGTAGGTTTTTTTTTTTCCCCAAGAGACACAAAGAAGCCACTGTATGGACTGGAGATCTTACCTAGTTTTGGTGGGTTGTGGGTGACCTTTCTTTTTATAGGGTGGTTTCCTGAAACAGGTTCACTACCCTCTGAGGCAAGAAAATGAGCCATAAATTATTAGGCTTCTTGCATATGAGACTCAGGGAACATTATGGAGCAGGGGGTCGGAAGACTGGAGGAGACGGAGTCCCAGGAGGAGTAAGGTGCAGCAGAGTCCTTTGGAAGTGATGGAACCCCTGCCTGTAACAGCTGTGACTACACAGAACCAAGCCAGTCAACACTGCAGCAGGGATGCAGGAGAAGCACACGAGTCCCTGACAGCTGCTGAGAGAAGGGGGTCACTTTCCTTAGAGGCAAGCCTCTTTGTAGGCTGACATGTTCCAGTGGTGGCCCACGCCTCTGTGCATGTGAGCAGTACCAGCTGGACTCCGAGGGCAACAAAAAGGAGACAGAGGAAAAAAAAAACAGGGCATGAAGTTGGGAGGGAGATTGGGAAGAATCCAGGAGTTGGGGAGGAGCAGTGATGAATATGATCAAAATACATCACACACGTGTATGAAATCCTCAAAGAGTAAAAAAAAAACATTAGCTCCTCCCTGCATGACCAAGTTTCACCCACACAGACTTCAAGCCCCTTAGGATCCTTTGATCACCCTGCTGTGTGGATATTCCCCTGGGAGCAGGGCAACCTGAACTGCACAAGACCGCACAAATGCATAGTGGAGGCCCATGTTTGGTTCAGGAATTTTCCCTGCCCACTGTGGCCAGAGAGTTAGAATCCTACATTTAAGTTTAGTTGATTATTTATTGTATGCAAATTTTTATATTTTATAAATTTATAAAAATTCTATAAATAAATAAAAACATTTATCTCTACATTAACCATAGATTTAATTATTTATAAATTATGCCTAGTATACTAACATACACTAGATATATTTAAATGTTGCAAGCAAGCGGAATACGTTTGTTTTTAGGGTGTGAACCTGGAGACACTAGCGTGCTGTGCAATTGCCCTACTGCTGGGCCGGATCCCACCTACAACGGGCGATTTGTTAGAAAGATTATCATATATCCATGTGAACCAAAACTAAGTCTACATTAAGATCATATCTTTAAAAAATATTTACTGGCATAGAGAATGTTCTCAATGGAACAACAACACACATAATAAAAGGGATGAGAAATCTGTGTCGGAGTCCAGCAGTTTCGGAAGTAAAGAACGTGTATACGGTAAGCAACGAAGGGAGGCCACGAGGCCTGAGCGCCAATGCCGTCGTCTGTGCACGCGGCATCTGCAGGCGACTCTGCCTTTCTCTTTCGTGCTCCACACGTTTTCTGTGGTGACGTAGGACGTTGTTACAGTTCATGTTCCATTTCCTCTCTCCCGTCCCCAGAGGAGGTGACTTTGCTGGGGAACAGCCCTTGGGAAGTTTGGCTAAGGAGCTGGAGGACGGTTCAGCAGCTAAGAGTGTTGCTGCTGCTCTGCCAGAGGACCCGAGTTTGGTTCCTGGCACCCACTTTGGGTGGTTCGCAACTGTACCGCCAGCTCCAGGAGATCTGACTTTCTCTTTGGGTCTTTGTGAGCACACGTGTGTGGCACACATGCATCCAAACACACACAAATAAAAATAGATCTGAAACATTTTTTAAAATTTTAGGCTTTCAACTCGGATGAGGAACACTGACATTCAGGGGGATTATGATTCGGGCTCCATCTGCGCTCAGGGCTTTTATGTTTCTCTTTTCCTTTCTTTCCCTCTTTCTTTCTGAGGCTGAAGCTGCATTGAGGACTCTGGTTTACGGCAGCTTGAGGTGATGTCTCAGTTATGTTCCTTGGAGAACAGGGAACTACGTCTAATTCCTGATGCTCAATATTTCTGCGATGGTTTCAGTTTCAAGGATTTCCCCCATCCCCCTTGTTTAAGAATGTGCTAGACTCGGCCTTCTGATGTCTGCTTTATGAGATGTGATCTTAGAAGGGGGGTATTTGTGGTAAATTCGGCAAACCCGGCATTTACTGCTGTTAAAGTGCCATTGTCTCAAACAAGGACACAGGGACCAGGGAGAGGGTACTAAAGACTCAACAGTAGAGAGAAATAACACAGCTGTACAAACACTGGGCAACCCCCTAAAACCCCTGAAAATTTTACATGCTAGCAGGATCATCTGGGGCAGGGGTAAAGGGTGCCCTGGGACTCCCACCCGAGCATAGGAGGGGAGCCAGCATTCTTAGAGGTGTGGTCCCTGGCCTGTTGCCTCCTGGGACAGCCCCATACCTGGAAAGGTATGTGATGTGGGATTCCCCTCTGTATGCTGCGAATACCATCAGTGAATAAAGAAACTGCCGTGGCCTGTTGATAGAGCAGAACTTAGCTAGGCAGGGAAAACTAAAGGGAATGCTGGGAGAAAAAAGACAGAGTAGAGATAAGCAATGTAGCCCCGCTGGAACTGGACAGAACCTTACCTGGTAAGCCACAGCCACGCAGCAATACACAGATTACTAGAAATGGACCAAGCAGTGATTTAATTAATATAGTCTCTGTGTGATTATTTTGGGTCTGAGCTGCTGAGCCGTCAGGAACAAACAAGTGACCCCCCTTCAACAGGTATGGGCAGTGATTCAGAGGGACACTTTTTAAAAAAGAGAAAGTAGGTTGGGGTGGGGAATGTTGACAGGATCTGGGTGGATTTGGAGGGTGGGATGAAGGTGGTTGAAATATATTGTTTGCATGTATGAAATTCTCAAAGAATAAATAGAAAGTTAAAAACCCCAAAACCTCAAAACCAAAAGCAGGCCCATGCTTGCCTTGGCCACAGCCTCACCCTCAGTAAGAACGAGTTAATTTTAAAGCTACAGACAAAAGGATTAGCAGTGTCTACATGCTACTGATGGAACTCGGGGATTCTCCTTTTTCGATTGTGGTTTTTATGTTTTCTCCTATGAGCCTACACAATGCTTGTAATGTTTTTCTTTTCCTTTAAATTTTCCGCAGGTTGTCAAACCTACAGCTTTAAAAGTTTAAGGCTGAACTTAATAGATGGGATCAGAGCAGTCAGTTTTAATGAAATAAACTCAGAAGTTATTCCTACTTAATAAAAGAACAAAGCCATGTCACTGCAATGACGTTAAGGAGATGGTGACTTAGTGATTCCTGAGGCAATGCATTAGGGATACCGATATGGAGGACTCTCGTTCGTTCTGAGCTAGGGTGAGGCTGGTGCCAGAGCTGTTGACAGACTTTGGCACTCTTTCTGCAGTCAAGATGTTCCATTTGGCACTGAGAGGTACACTTGGAACTGTCCCGTTTTATAGGCCACCACTTTGATGCTGTCCTTCGGTCACAGGTTTCCAGACTTACTCACCTGCACCGCCCACACGGTTGAAATCACTAAGTTTCAGCCTTCACTCCAGCTGTCCTCTGCCTGTTTCTTGTCTAGTGTTTGACAAATAAAGGTAGCCGGGGATAAGAGGGTCTGTTTCTGCTGGCTCCCTGCCAACATCTTAAAACTCAAGTCTGGTTTGAGGAGCAGCCAGAGTATGCTTTCTTCTTCTATCTCTCAGAGTCATCGAAAGAGGTTTGTAAGGACCTTGACGCTATCTGAATGCAGGCTGTACAGAACAGGCCAGGGCAATTCTTTGAATTCCTCCCACTTTAGCTTTCTGGCCAGCTTCAGCCTTCCTATCTCTCTTACCTACTGAGACGGTACCAATGTATTTCTTTACCATGTGGATGTCGAGAGCGGAGCTCCGCCATCTCTTTCGTCCCTATTTGTAACTCTTTAAAGTTATGAAAATAGTTTCAAAGCCAAAATGTTTTTATGGCATAATATTCAGCAAGAAAAATAGAAGCCAAAATTTAAAGATAATGGCAATTAGAAAAATCTTTGCCACAGAAAAGAAAGTGGTACAAATGGCTCCAGAATCTCAAATCCTCTTTTGGATGGTTTAATTTTCCATAAGCATGTGGTAAGCACTGTTTAGAGACCCTCCAGAAGCTCTTTAGATGTCATGTCAACAGCACCAGGTAGTTCCCACGTTCTGATAGGCTTGGCTAGTGTGTTTTGACTTTATGAAGGTACAAGGGGGATATGCCCTCTGAGTACAAACCACACTACAAAGTTTCCCTCTTGGTCTTTCCCTAGACCGGAAGTGTGGATCCCGAGCCTCAGCCATGACCACAGCTCGCAGCCACACAGTAGCCAGGCCAACGCCGGCTAACCGCAGTGTGCTGTGCGCCGCACAAGAGCTTTGGGTAAGCTGTGGAACCTTATCAAGACACAGCACCAGTCTACACCAAGAAACATCTACACTGTTTGAAAAAGCAAGCCATGAAGTAGTCACTCTCCCACACTTCCTCCCCCACTGTGTGTATGCTGGGGAGTGAACGAAGGACCTCGGGCAAGATAGGCAAATGCTCAACTACTGAACTGTATCCCTAGCTCTGCCCACCCATGTTACATCTACTGCCCCATCCTATCATTTCAAAGCCCTAATGCAGATCAACAAAGCAGAACTTAAGGATTTATAAATAAATGAAGTAAGGACTGTTTAAGATCTCAAGTGCAGATGTTTGTCTGTGGGTTTGGGGACACAGATGTCTGGGTTGTTATTTCGTAGCTAGTGGTTTCTGAGGAAAAGAGCAGAGTGGAAGATGCCTTCTAGTTACCCATGTTTTTCATGGTCTCTGAGCTCTGCCACACAGTGATTACACCCCACACTCCTCTACACTGGACTCCTGCACTTAAGGATGCTTTTGCCAGCTTGCCCTGTCTCCAGGATTTTCCAGGACAAGCTCATTCTACATCTGAGGCTCATCCCAGATGTGGCTGTCTGAAAAGTTCCCCAGATGGCCCACAGTCCCAGTCAGCCAGTCTCTTTCCGGTGTCTCTTCCTACTTTCTGAAATAAGCTTGTGCACTTGAGAGACACGTTTGCTTTCTCACTTTACCCTCCCCCCGGTCCCGCCATCCTCCCATCAGCACCGTGAGAGAAGAGACAGACTTATCTTCTCAGCCGCACTTTGGCGCTCATACTGCCCAGAGGCCATCAGTAACAATAGACACTGCTTGTTTGCATTTGGGATTCTGTGAGCTCCCAAGGCTGGTGGATATTTCTGTAAGCTACATGATCGTATATAAATTGTTTCTAGTTTCTGGGTTTAGCATGAAAGATCTGCCCTCATCTTTGTGTACTCTCAAAGAAAATGCTTGTTCCAGAGCGGGTGCCTGGGCTTGCTGTAGCAGGAACATCTGTGTGGCAGGTGACACAGTACCGAAGGTACAACAGAGACATAGAGACATAGAGAACAAAATAAGAGTGTCCTAACAGACCTCAGCACCTCAGTCACACCGTTCTTTTGAAATGTGTCCCCACCCCACAGACGACCAGACTAGCAAAGATGACTTGACCAAAATTTTCTGACCTTAGTCCTGTTTCAAGTGGGACCACCTTAATTCCTCTGTAAAGAGCTGCTTTTTGGTTCTGCAGACCATAGTCAGCCATTATCGGACAACAGCCTGTAGTCTAATGGTCTGGCCAGGGTTGGCTGGGAGAGTGACATTTGCCCAAGCCCAGGACTAACATCAGAACCCCCACTGGCTCAGATCTATTCTGGTAGAGCACCACCTGCTCTGTGCGTGTCAGGAAGTGGGTACCACAAAAGCTTTGTAGTTTCTGGAGGGGGAATTACATTTGGAGAAAAAGGACCAGGAAAACACAATTTAAAATTTTAGTGCCTGGAGCTACTTTGAATTGAGTTAATCACACATGGGCTCTAGAGAAAGAAAGTTTGGCTCAAGTGGGTGTCTAGTCTTGATGTTGCCATCTTCTGGGGAGGGGGTGTCCTATCTTCTGGGGAGGGAGTGTCTACTGTTGAGCTGGACTCGCTTATTCATATGCAGGGCTGTTATTGCAAATGTTCCCTGAATTCTCCCATGTTGTAAGAGAAACTGATCAACCCGAATGGTCGAGTGTCAAAACAATTGGTAGGGACAGTCAAGGGTGCATAGGTGACAGATGCCTAGCTCTTAGCCGGACCAGATAGCAGCCCCCAGGCAGAGTTGTACACATGCATGCTATACTTTTATCAGACTCCCAGAGAGAACCAGGCACACATCTACAAACTGTAGCTAGCAATTCTGTCATCAGAGATTTGGTCCTACAGGTTAAGGATCACTGTTCTCCATTAATTGACTTCTCTGTATTTGGGATGATTTCCAGCCATGAAATCTTTACAACATTCTAATATAATTATTTGTCCTTTCCACCACATTCAGTTCCTTCATAGTCCATTCAGGTGCAAGAGACCACGAGGGGGAGGGAAGTTGAGGTGAGGGTTGTGGAGAAACACAGGAGGGAGAAAAGACCCTCTGGTGAGAAGAAAGCTTGGTCTGTCTTAAATTCTGACTAATGCTACCTGGAGCACAAAAGTCATTTTTTAAAATACAAACCTAAGAAAATTTTCCCGTGTGGATGCTAAGCACTCAACATTAAATTCACAGCCTTGTTTTTGAATTTTGTATGTTGTACAACTCCACTCATATTCTGTATAATGTGATACATCTACACAGATACATCTACTCAACCATGAATTCATCCACATAACACATACACTTAAGAACACCAGGAACGGATCTTAGATGGTGTGGTTCATCAGACTTCTGTGGACATTAATAGATCTTTGTTGACTTTCTCATATGCCCTATTGGGTGTTCTGGGTTAGGAGTAGGATGAGGGATGGGGTGGAGAGTCACAAACCTGTGCGAGGTGGTAGCTGCTCCTGAAGGTCCTAGGAGTGGCTGCAAATAGGGTGGGGACTGCGGTGGCAAACTTTAAAGCTGTGACAAGGACAGCAAGGCCAGAGGCGGGTAGCACCTTCATTTCCTCTTGGTCTCGTGGTAAATATGTCAGCCCAGGGGGTGGCAGACAGTGCACCCCTGCCCCTGGATCTGCGCTCCTTTTATAGAGTCGCACAGGTCTGGGCCTTGCAAGTGATGATTCATGTCTCAAATGGTAATTACACAGATGGTGTCTCTCTCTGATGATGGGGTAACAGCCCTGCACAGGGCCAGGGAAAGCTTTCTTCTTTGTGACTGACTCAGTCACAAAGGAGAGAAATGGTCACATTTAATGAAGCTTGTTAGCTATGTGCACAAATTGGGGTGAGCTTGATTGATCTGAATCCCACCCAATGGAACCATTTGGTTAGCCCTGCCTTCGGATCCCTTTTCCATTCTGACTGCAGAAAAGACAGGGGCTTGTGGCTCTCTACTGAGCCTTTACTTGTGTCTGCTGGCAGGCCTAATGACCTGGGTCCCAGGGACCCGCATGACAGAAGCAGAGAATTGGTTCTTCCAAGTGATCCTCTGAATTCTATATGCATGTCATGGCACCTTCTGCATGCCCCCTCCCATGAATACATACATAAAATAAATAAATGCAACTTTGAAAATGAAAAAGTTAAATGTTTAAAATGTAGTTGGATTATAATACAATAGAGTTGTCTACACACTGAAGCCAACCTCCAGCATCCTGTATCTGCATTTTCCACAATGTTTCTCAGGGTGCTGCTGGTGGTTCTAAGACACACAAGGTCTCAAGTTATCAAGGCAACTAAGTGTTATACCATGGTACCATAACTAACAGAAGACTTTGCAATGAGATAACACCAGAGTGTTGTCGAATACGAATTTAAGATGTATTGCATTTGTTTATGCTGTGGAACATTGGTTTAATGATGCATAGGTGTGTTGCATTCTTTTATGTTGCATTTGTTTAACTTTGTGAAGCTGTGTTAGTTTGCCTGCCTAAAACACCTGATTGGTCTAATAGAGAACTGAATGGCCAATAACTAGGCAGGAGAGGAAAATAGGCGGGGCTTGCCAGCAGAGGGAGTAAATAGGAGGAGAAATCTGGGAAAGGAAGATCAAGGAACAATAAAAGAAAGAGAGGAATTCAAGGGCCAGCAACCAAGCTACATAGCAAGCCACAAAGTAAGAAGTAAAGAAAGGTATACAGGATAGAGAAAGATAAAAGCCTAGAGTCAAAGGGTAGATGAGATAATTGAAGTTCAGAAAAGCTGTCTAGAAATAAGCTAAGCTAAGGCTGGGTTCTCATAAGAAAGAATAAGACTCCATGTATTTATTTGGGAGGTGGGTGGTGGACTCCCAAGGCGCTAAAGAGCTGAAAGAATAAAAGCTACACCTGAGTTATGTCTGTTAACCAAAATATAAGACAAAACCTGCCATTTTCAGTGTATCATGGTTAGTTTTGAGTCACATTTGTGTGTGTATTCATGTGTGCAGTTACAGTTGTCCATGTGTGTGGGGCCTAGAAGATAACCTTTTCTTTTTTTTTTTTTAAACAAGGCTTCTCACTGTTATGTAAACAATCGTGAGAAAAAAAAAATAAAAGTCAGAAAATATGAGGGAGAGAAACTCACATTTTACTTGTGATCAGAATTGACATGGGACATGGACAGCTCAAACATAAAGGAGTCGAACATAAACATGAAATACGCCCTCCATATTGTCTACCTGCCCTGACTCCTCCCCAGCATGTCCTCCACACTCTATCTGCACTAACTCCTCCCCAAAATGTCCTCCACAATCTACCTGCACTGACTCCTCCCCAGCATGTTCTCCACACTCTACCTGCACTGACTCCTCCCCAGCATGTTCTCCACACTCTACCTGCACTGACTCCTCCCCAGCATGTCCTCCACACTCTACCTGCACTGACTCCTCCCCAGCATGTCCTCCACAGTCTACCTGCACTGACTCCTCCCCAGCATGTCCTCCACACTCTATCTGTACTGTAACATCAGCTCTGGATTCAGGTCTATCAAACCAATACATTTTGCAGGCAAGTAGCTCATGCATGTTTCTCTTTCTTTCCCTAACAAATGTTCTCGCCCCTCCCTCTTTGGGTGCAACATCGTCCTGTGGCTTGCCCTGGCATGTGCCCTGAACTGAAACCCTTTCCTTAACCCTGCAGGAATTCTGTTCATTTGTAGATACTTTTCACCCAGAGCTATTTTTATTTTTTGTTTATGTTTTTTATTTTTTAAGCTTTGCTTGTTCAGTTCACAATTCTGACTTGTGTGCACATGATCTATGAGGTTGATTCATCTCCTTTGGCTGTGATATTTTCACATCTAAAATAGGAGGATGATGTCAACTGACAAAGGAAAGTCTTGTCATTGTAGAGATTGTAGCACAATACAGGAAAAGGTTGGTACATATGATGTCGGCTCTGCTGCTTTTCCTTTGGCTACCTGGAACCTGGTTGGCTTTTAATAAGGGAATGCCTGGAACCCTAGGTCTCTGGTTCTCAAGGTGTGGTTCCTGGACCCACAGCACCACCATCACCGAGAACTATCAAACCTTTAATATATATTTTTGTGTTAACTTCACGCACGAATATAGTGTACTTAGATCAAATCCACCCTTTTTCAATTTAACACCTCCCAGTTCTCCACCACGTTTCCTCCCAACTTCTACATTCTTTTGTTTTATAATGCACTGAGTGCAATAGAAGCTGCCTGTGTGCCTGTGGACATGATGTTTAAGTTTGTGTGTGTGCGCGCGCATGCGTGTGTGTGTGTGATATGTTATGTGCACGTGTGGTGGCCAGAGAAAGACATGTAGGAACCACTGCTCTCTCCTTCCACCATGTGGCTTCCAGGGTTCAACTCAGGTCATCAGGCTTAGCTTGGCCAACTTCACTGTAAGTCCTTACGAGCTCTTCAAGCAGTTCTGATGCATGGTAACACTGGAGACCCACTGAACTGGCTGAGTGTTATAGCCAGGAGCTGTGAGGTGACATAATAATAAAGTGTGAAAGTGATCAAGAACCCGTCAACCACAAGAAGTTTTCAGTGCTGCCGTTGCCTCTGGGGCCTTGCTTATTTCAAAATCGTCTGGGAAGTCTTTTGCAAATAACTAACACCACTACCCCTGAGACCACAAGAGTATGTCTTACTTTCATGTTTTGACAAATTCCACTCACAGTGATCTTCCTCTCCTCCTTCATTCTGCTGTCCTTTCCTGAATGGAAGAGAGAGTGTTACGCCCAAAGTGTGGATCCCTGAAATATCACCATGAGGCGGAATCCAACGCAAAAGCAAAGAGTCTTTATATATTGTGAGTTGACTTGGACCTCCCTGTCCGACCTGAGCAGCAGCAGCAGCAGGAGCAGAGCAGGAGGCACCCTGAGCCATGTGGGGACACTGGTTTTTACAGTGGGGAAGGCTTGTGGAACTCTAAGTCTACTGGCTTGGAACTGGTTGCCTCCTAAGGGTGAGGGAGCTTCCCACTTCTGATTAGCTCCCCCTACTAAGGAGGAAGGAGCCCTTGATGTCAGGGGTCATGGAGAGGTCATTTCCCTAGAGTAGAGGTGACTACCTCCCTGGGCCGAGGTCAGGAAAGGTAATGCCTCTAAACTAGAGGTTACTATTTTCCTACTTAGGGACTGGTCAGTTTTTCCTGTTCAAGGATTGGTTGGTTTCGCATCAGAGGCAGAGATGGCTTGGATTTTAGGGGCAGGGTGAATTTCTTTAACAGGCTCTGGCTCTAGGGTCAAACTCTGTTCCTTTGGCTCTGGCTTCAAGTCAGAGTGTTTTTCTCTGGCTCTGGGTTCAGGGATACAGTGTTATCTCTGGTTCTGTGTCCACAGATACAGTGTATCTCTGGCTCTGGGTTCAGGGATACAGTGTATCTCTGGTTCTGTGTTCAGAGCCAGGCTTCTCAAGGGTAGTGCTAGGGCTGTGGATCCTTTAGGGCCTGGGTCTCTCAAGAGTATTGGGATTATGACAGGCCTGCAGCGTCTAGGTAACAACCTGTTTGTTAGGTATCGATTGTCTTGGGATGAATAAGACACATCTCAACGGAAAAAAGGAAACGTATTGATTTGCCTCATTCAGTTAACTAAATTATAAGTTTCTTGACTGTTTCATAGCAAAACCAAACCACTTACATTTGTTTAATGAATGAATGAACATGCAGAGTAATTGTCATCTTTTACCTTCAGGAAGTAAACGACATTGTAACAATCGTTTCAAAAACTGGTAAGCCCTTGTGCCTTCCAAAGCCCTCCTGATGTTGCTTCACAGCTGCTGCTGAAATGAAAAGCTAGTCAGTCTTTGACACTTCCTTACTGTTTTTCATATGTCCTTCCTCTTATTTCCTACTGACAGCCCCAACAGGAAGGAACTCAGAGAGGCCAGGTGTCTTAGTTTGCTGTTTTCTGCCATGAGAACCGCAGACCAGTTTAGGGGAGGAAAGGCTTTGTTGGGCTCTCAGCTTAGAGCCCCATCGTGGGGCTAAGACTTGAGCTTCAAGCTGGTACTCAAGGCAGGGGACGAAACAGAGGACAGAGGGTCGCACTAAGGGGCTGGCTCTTCACGGCTTCTCAGTTCCCCCTCTTATAGCCCAGGCCCACAGGCTGAGGGTGGGTCGTTCCCAGTGGACCAATTCACATCAATCATTCATCAAGAAGAAAATGCTCCATAGTCATGCCCACAGGCCAGTCTGGTGGAGCACTGTCATCCCAAGTGACTCTACTCTGTGTCAGGATGACAAAAGTTGACCAGCACACCGGGCTGCGATGGAGGGGTGATGTTCTGAACTTAGAGGGACAAGAGAGAGAAACAAACGTTCTCATCGCTAGCATGTGAAAATGGAAGGAAGTGACGTATATAAAGTGATCTCGATACTGTTAGGAGGTTCTGATATCTGTTATTCTATCTCTTGGTATGTGGGATTTGTGCATGTGTATGACGCATGTGTCCATCAACATTCAGGTGTCTGAGCATGTGCCTGCCATGTGTGTGTGTTAGGTTCATGGAAAGGCGTGGGGGTTATGGTTGTCTTCCTTAAGTG